TATATATATATATATATATATATATATATATATAAGTTGTTAGGGAATTATGTCATCTGGAAGGATGTTAAGGTTCCTTTTCCTTAACTTTGTTTAGTTTTTTATTCTTTATTTAAGTTATAATATGATTACTAAATTTCAATAGATTTTAAATTTTGGTTTAAGATGATAACATAAGAACCTAATATAGTGATGGTTGAAATGATTATGAAATTGAATTTTCATATACCATCATTTTTTTTATTTATTTATGATGTAGATATTAAAGTAGTTAACTTTGAATTAGTTAAATATGAGTCTATATCAGCAAAGTATAGCTTAATTTAGGAAGTGGTAAAGTTAGGAATGAATAAATAATAGTTGTTATTTTGAACTTAGCATGGATAATATATTTACTTGGAATCAGAAATATGTATAAATGTCACACGTTTAACGTCTAACGAAAGAAAATTCAACGTAAAAAATATCAGTGATTTGTAAATAAAATATCCTTATAGACGTTGGTTCCCCTCCACAAATGTCAAAAAAGTCCGAAAATATCTCATTTTAAGCGTCAATATTAATTTTTTTACGACATAGACATCGTCCCCCAAATCTACGAGAAGCTGTAAAATCAGACATTTAAGATTTTATCAATGATACACTAGGATTGCAAGTTGACACCTCCACTTGAAGACACTAAATATGAACACCATAATGACATCATGAAGACTCAATATAGACATATATACCGAATCTAAGCACTAGTGTACAATATACATTCAGGGACATCTCGGTCATCCATTCCTAAATAGAGTAAAAACTTAGAGAAAAAAACATTTTGTAAGAGTCGATACTTTTTAATTTTAGAGTTTTAATTTTTTTAATATTTAATAAGTTTTATAATTTTTACAATTTACATTATTAATAATATAAGAAAGTATTATACTTAATATATTTAGAAGCCATATGTGGAATAAATAGCATAAATTATGTTAATAATTTTGTATTTTATTTTAAAATATTTAATTAAAATAGTATTTATCATATTTAAATCACGATAATTTAATTTAAACGTTGTAAGCAAATTTGGTAACATTCAATATTTATGGTAAGGGCATGTAATTAGTTACAAACGATCGAAAATAAAGCTTTTAAAGAGAAAACCGATGGTTGAAAAGGGTTAGTTTTTCTTCCTCTACTCCCATTATTCCTTCTTCTATCTCAACTTAACACATTTCATTAAAATACCTTTATTTTTATTTAATAGAAAGCCACATCTCATTAAAAACTTTTGAAATTATATGTTATGTTTTCAATGTTAGTTCAATACAGTAGAAAATATCTCCATTATCAATTCTTGTTTCTGTAAAGCTTTTAAACATGACAACAACATCCCTTCCATTTGGATAGGAGTAAAGTTACACAAGATTTAATATTTGAAAACGTAATACAACAAGAGAAATCAAAACTCAAAACACTTTATTCATTACTAACGGTTCCGGTTCAAATAGAAGGACGATTTCTGCATGTATGACCAAACACCCATTTCTTCCCACAAATGTGACAGAACTCGCATCCACACCTGAAAAGATGACAGTGAAGATAGTAACATAATTTCTTGCCTGATATATATACAAAGAATGCATGTCAAAAACCAGGAAAGGATGATGAATGATAAGACAATAACCTGCATAAAATGTGTTCACATCCACCAGTATTTTCGACAAAGATGGTGCACTGGGACATCTCTGCCACTTTTTCTCTATAGCCAACTTAAAAAACTTCGTATCCAACTCTCTTGTATCCATTAGTTTTCGAGGATTGGACAATCTTCTTTGCTCTGTTATCGTGCTAGGTTATGTAGAACTGAAAGTTCAATATGCAGTGAACATATATAATACGTTGCAAGTCTGTTCACATTCTCTTCATGTTTGAGTAGTTGTACTCAGACAGCAACTAAATTCATGTTTGATCATTTGAATGCTTGGACACAACTGTAGTTCTGGTCATCCATTATTTACAATAAAAAAATCCGACACTCATATTTTATTTCAAATTTTCATTTATATTTATTTTTATGTATTAAATATAATATTTTATTAATAAAATACAGATTCACGTGCAAGAAGAGAAAAAGTTTTTTCTATAAAATTTCTTTTTCTTCATAATTTATAATTTTCTGTTCTACTGACAAAATATCTCATAGATAAGTTCACCATTTTTTGGGATTATTTTGATATGAAATTTTGGTGGATTGCAAGTTTTTGAGAGGGCCAAAGGATTTTCCATTNCAACTCTCTTGTATCCATTAGTTTTCGAGGATTGGACAATCTTCTTTGCTCTGTTATCGTGCTAGGTTATGTAGAACTGAAAGTTCAATATGCAGTGAACATATATAATACGTTGCAAGTCTGTTCACATTCTCTTCATGTTTGAGTAGTTGTACTCAGACAGCAACTAAATTCATGTTTGATCATTTGAATGCTTGGACACAACTGTAGTTCTGGTCATCCATTATTTACAATAAAAAAATCCGACACTCATATTTTATTTCAAATTTTCATTTATATTTATTTTTATGTATTAAATATAATATTTTATTAATAAAATACAGATTCACGTGCAAGAAGAGAAAAAGTTTTTTCTATAAAATTTCTTTTTCTTCATAATTTATAATTTTCTGTTCTACTGACAAAATATCTCATAGATAAGTTCACCATTTTTTGGGATTATTTTGATATGAAATTTTGGTGGATTGCAAGTTTTTGAGAGGGCCAAAGGATTTTCCATTTTCCGTTCACGACATTTAATATTCTCTTCTTCGTTTTTTTTTCAAACTCAAACCTAAACTAATTTAACATGTTCAAAGGTTTATGGCACCTACATATACATAATAACAGTAAACGAACATGCAAACCATTATACGAAAAGGGCAAACTAACCTGGTGTCCAGCCACGAAACCAATCAACCTGCAAACGACCGCATCTCTCAGCAAACAAACCAAGCACACCTCAGCAACCGAACACACCTCTCGTATCTGTGGAGTGGAAGAATGGGTGCGGTGGGGGAAGCGTAAAAAGGAAGAAGGGATTTAGGGTTTTGAAAAAAAGTTAAAAGTTAAATGGTAAAAGTAAGAAAATATTTACCAAAAACAAATTTGAAAGAAATTTTTAACTGTCAAATATAATGGTAAATGCAATTAAGTTACATTTTAACATTCGGTTTCGTCTGAAATTTGAATTATTTAAATGGTTATTAAGACAAGAATTACTTGAGTTTGATTAAACTAGGATGAGATTGAAAAAAAAAATAAGAGAATTAAAAATGACATTGGTTAAATTTTAAAAAAATGGAATATTTAGATAAAAAAATTTATAATTAAAATTATTGATGCAACCAAAACATCTTATTTGTATTTTAAAATTATTATATTATGTATTCATTTTATTATAATGAATAAAAATATAAAAATTAAAGACATAATCAATTGTTAAATTATATAATCAATCATATTGAAATAGATAACCAACTTGTTTTCATAAGTATATATATATATATATATATATATGAAAGAGATATAATCAATTATGTACTTCAATATAATCGATTATGTTGAATATATAATCAATTCTTTTCACTCAAATCTTAACTTTTATGCATATATCTGTCATTTTTATTTTGATTTACGTGAATATTCTTTTCGTTTTTTTTCTTTTTGAGCATCACAACACATTTCATTAGACCAACTCACCTATTTTACTATATTTTCAAACTACCTTTGGCTTTAGTACAACCATTTGATGAATTTTTTACAATGTGCTACTTCAATATAAAATAATGAAAGATAGACATCTGAAAAAAATTAATTTATTAGTATGAAATTAATGTATCTGTTGCTATTTTTTTTCTCCTGAGAAAATACAACCTTATCACATAACTGCCTGAAGTAAGCTACATAAATCATACTGCCCGAACCAGTTCTGAAAAAAAAAACATAAAAAATATACTCTAATAGCTTTTGCTGAGCAAAAAATCTGCCGAAGTGATTTCAACTCCATGCTTTAATCGAGTATACCACTTCATATAATATGATGCAGACACCGGTTTGAACCAAAAGAACTTGTCTGCATATGCACAAGGAAAACAAGTTATTAAAACAGTGTGTAGAGAGAAGACGATAGACATGTTTAAAATTGATCTAAGGAAGAAAAAGCACGTTAAACAAAAGCTTCCAACCTTTATCCAATGAAGAATCTTTGATCTCACGTCATGTTGAATGAACACTAACAGTCTATCATCAGAATCATTTAAGACAGTTGTGAAAAAACCGTATCCCCTGCGTCAATGAATTCAAATGGCAGAGAACAATTTAATATTAACCACGAATCTCCAAATGTATATTAAATTAAGGAATAATAAAAATGAAATGATACGAGATCTTCGGAGACTGAAAGACTACCTGCAATGCAAAAGTAATATCACCCTCATTTACTTTAGGCGACACTCTTCTTAATTTATCCTCTCGAGATTGTCCTAGTTTAATAAGACCCTGCAGTTACAATATTTTATCATTTTACTCATTATCACTATCCGTCACTGATCCAACACTTGAATATGAAAATTCATCAGTTGCAGGATACTAAATCTACAAATACAAAATCGAATCAAATTGTTTAAATACCTGGTCACTTAGCACTCTGCACATGTTCGAAAATTCTAAGATTCCTGCTGGAGGAATTAAAGATGATCTGCATATCCCCACATACGATTGATACAACTGCAACATTCCATCATTATTTTTAAATTTTCGAAATCAGTATACGGATTAGAATGGATCAAAACCATGTGAGCGGGTGAAGCATACATCTCCTAGGAATGTATCTTTCTTGGCTTCTCGAAAGTGATTCATAGAAGAGCAGAGTATAATCTGCAAATAGTACATATCCAGAAAAAGTTAGAGCCAAGACCTAGTATGAAAGGTGTTTATGCATTTAGTTTAGTTTGGTATTCGACTAAACATGCTTTTTCAAAACACATCCTTAATGTTATACAAAGTTACCATCCCTTCAATGACACTTTCCATTCATATTTTGCTATTCAAACTTTTGAATACTTTACAAGACTTTTGTGATAATAATTAAGATTGAAATTAGCCGATCTATACCTACAAGAGCATAAAAAAGTATATGAAAATATCTTAGTTCCGGTAATAGGGGAAGCCTTAGCTCTACAGTTCATAGCACATTCATTTTTCAACTTACCTGCTGATGATGTGGCAGAGATTGTATCGTATCCACCACAGGTGACCTATAAGTCTTGGACAAGGCACGAGACATATGATCAGTTCTCACCTGCAATTTATTTTGAAAACTTTAGGCCTTTAGTCAAAAAGTAGGATGAATAAATAATAGAAGAACTATACTTATTTAATAAATCTAAATTTATTATGTAGCCGTTTTCAGATGCCTTTAACAATGCTTTAATAACAATAGACTCTGGCGAAAGTAAATAATGGTTCATTGCCTATACCTATGATGACTGATAATCAGACTAAAACTAATGTATCGATTTCTTGACAACACCTGAGCTACCACAACCTAAAAAGTTTGAACACAACTTAACGAAATATATTCCAACCTATTAATGAATCAAATGAGGAACGAATTATTGAACACTTACAATATCAAATTCACGTTTTTTCATACAATCAGGAGCTGTGGGAAGATTTTGTTTGGAGAATGATATCTCTTCCAATGAAGTGTTCAAATTGCACGCAGATTCTCTAATTTCTGCTTCAAGCATCTCGATTGCACTCCTGGAAAGAGAAAAGCACAATTAAAGTTGTTATGTTACTGGATTTTTCTCTAGCTAAATTGACAAAGAAAATTGAGACATAACTTGAACTTCCTCAATCCCTGGCTACGTACCAAAAAGATACGAGAACGCAAATATTGATGAAGAATCTAATAAAAAATGCAACGCTTCAAGTACTAGAGAGAAGGGAACTTTAACTGAAACCTCAATTTAATCACAAAACCCCAACTGACTTCCCTTACCCTGGTTTATTTCCTCTTATCGTATACATTTAACTGTACTGATCAGTTATTATTTTAACTAACTGGATTATAATCCCCTGCACCTATTCCATGTTAAAGTTCAGATACGGTTACTTAAATTTTAAACTAAACAAAAACTAGGTAGGATTATGGATTTGTAGTAAAAGTACCATTTCTACTTTTTCTATAAATAAAAATGAACATTTTAAGATGAATAATTTTGTATACACGTATACATTATCTCACGGGAATAAAGAGAAAATAATAATAATAATAATAATAATAATAATAATAAATGACTAACCAGCATATAGAAAGGGCATTCCGCATGTCTCCAGAAGATGCGGCAACTTTCTGCAAAGTTCAGTGCTAATTAGGCTCCACATTATTTCAAGATGAATTAGGAAAGCACTGTTGTTCACTTGTCGTTTGCTTATTTATTTCAACTTCAAATTCGTAAGCAGTAAAATGGGACTTGAATCATTTTACGTAAGGAATAAAAAAGGTAACATGGTCTTCAGTTATTTTGTCACGCATATTTGACTCACCCTAGCACATAGTTCCAGGGCCGGCTGTTGAAAGACAATGTAAGGAAGTTCCTGGTGGTGAAATAAAAATTTGTTAAGAAAAATATTGAACAAGAAGAAATGCAGGATTCACTTCACATTTTTTCTTCCACCAAGTGAGTAAACATTTTAACAAACACAAATCTATAACCCAATTTTAATAGCAACAATCTTACCTTTAATCTTTCTTCAAGAATCTTGAGGATCTGATCTTTCGAGTAAGCCTGGAAATTTACAACCACAGGCTTGCCTAGAACAAAACAAACAGAAAAGATTAAATAAGACAATAAAAATAGTTTCTAATGGTTTACACAAGTAGGATAGCTCCATTGCTCTGGTAAATGAGATGCATATAAAATGAGAAATCTTTACATAAAATCATTGACTTAATTTACTCACAATTTAATGATGTAAGCCTCGGAAGAAATCGATCAGCTAAATCAATTGCATTCGCTACACCTGTATAAACAAACATGATTAGTCTTGAATTACCCAGACTGATTTAATAACCACGTGTTGGAAACAACAGTTTTTCACTTTAGAGAAATTTACCTATCAATATACATCTAGAAAATGGAAAGGTAGTGAGCATAAAAAGATCATGAAGAACGGCTCTGTCTTTGGTTATCAAATAATCTAATTCGTCAGCTACTATCAATCTGTTACAATGAAGGTATATTACTTCCTTGATAACAACCAAGTAGAAAAAATATATAGATGTCGATTTATATTATATTTAGTTTGAAAAAATAGTGGGCAGGGATATATTTCTTACGTCATGTTGTTGATAGATGATTTCTGAGAATACATGTTATGAAGTTGCTGTAAGGGCGAGGCTGAAACCTTTTTACCCTGTGTTTGGTTTAACCCAACCATCTGCTAGAAAAGCCACTATGTCAGTCAACTGATAAAGTTAACTTCAGTTCAATTAAATGTTTTCCCACCTTTGTGAAAATATCAGATGTGCTAGCAAGAGTTGTGCAGTTCACGAATAAAACATCTGGCAGCGAGAGACCTGCCTGAAAATCAGATAGGCAAGATCGTATTAGGAAAAGAACACAAAACACACTGTGACTCCAGATTGAACAATCAAAGTCAAAGATCAAATTTAATGTTTCTTCGGTCAATTATATTCAATGGGCAAGTATGACACATGATTCTTCTTCATGATTAGTAAGGAACATATCAAACAACCATGATGGCATATTAGGCATAACAACAATCGAGGGATAATTAGCTTCCAATATTTATGCAGCATGCGAGCAATCATCAACCCGTAACATCACCAAGAGCATGACACCAACAATTACACCATACCTCCTTAGACCAATTGAGTAATTGCTCTTTCACTTTCTCCATAGACAACGATTTCCCGGTTCCGGGACACCCGCAAATGTACAGACTCCCGGCCTTTTTATGCTCAACGCACCCTTTGCAGAACTCCAAAACAACATTCTGCTCCTCCTCACGGCACACGACCGAAGACGGCGCAGTGGACAAGTGCAATGCTAGCTTCACCGCCTTTATTTGCTCACCATCTATTATTCAGTCAACAAAAAAAAAGTCAAAAACACCACTACATAAGAAGACAGTGAGAAAGAAAAGAATCTCGACCCTTACCTTTGGGATTCCACCTGGGTTTCACAGCTGCCGGATCAACTTGGTTTTCATCTGTGCCGAAATTGTTTACCTGCAAACGAACGACAAGCAATCGGTTGATCACAGGAATTGAAAGAGATGAGAGAGCGTATGTAGGGGAATTAGGGTTTTGAGAATTACATTGCGGGAAGAATTGGCGGTTGCTGCGGTGCATCGGCGAGGCGATTTGCGGGGAGGCGAGGAAGGATGAGATCGCAACGAGCGTTTTGCGGCGATGACGGGCATTTTTGTTGCGAGAGTGAGAGAACAGTGAAGGGGAATTTGAAGGTTGAAGAAGAAACTGTGAATCTGCAATGGGGAAACGGTGAAGAGAATAGATCTATAAGCTTTCTTTAGCGGGAAAAGTTAATACAAGCGCGCCAAATTGCGAGCATCTTCTTTCAACCTTTTCCCGCGTCACCCTTCCCTATCTGTTTTAGTGGTTGCTAATAAGTTCAAATTTCAAATTATTGCCATGTTAAAAGTTGATGAAGTAAAATAAAGAAAAAGATTAAAAAATAATAGAAGAGCTTATATTTCTTTATTTTCTACTAAATTAATTATTTTGATAATTTTCACAAAACAATTTAAAAAATAAATGAAATAAGGAGTGAATTAGAAAAAATAAATGTTACAATTATAAAGAATTGATAAATGAAAGAAGATTTGAAATTTTTAAATTAATAACTCAAATATAAAAATATTTTTTAAATTTCTTGATCTTTAGTTTGTGCACATCATATGTTCTCTTAAAAAAATTGCCTTTCAATTTAGTTTTTTTATTGTCTACCAATAATCAAGCAAACATATATAAGAGTTTAATGCATGCAAATGTAGAACAAATTAAAAAAATATATCTAATATCGATATATAAATATCGTAAGAGTTAAATAGTTTATTATAAACATATCGGGTGAGATTACTTCATATCAAATATATTATAATCTATGATAATATAAAAAAAATATACTAGTAAACTGATCTTATTATTCATTCTATTTTATTTCCAAGTATTTCAAAAGTTAGTTTTTTTAATTACTTAACATATGATAATTTTTTATTTATATTTATTTTGTTAAAGTAATTTTATTTTTATTATCTATTATCTGTTGTAATATAAAGAAATAATATATTAATAAATCTACCGTTTTACCCATTTATTTATATTTATTTTTGTTATTACATTTTATAAAATTTATTTTACTTCTATTATTTTCTATAATATAATAAAAGATTATAATAGCAAATTATCTTATTACCTGTTTTATTTTGTTGACAAGTGTATCCGAAGTTAACTTTTCAGTCTTTTCAAATTTTTATTTATTTTTTGTTTATATTTATTTTGTTGTTATATATGCATTTAAGTTATTTTATTTTGGGTTAAATATGTTTTTAGTCCCTAAACTATTGGTTGTTTCTGGTTTTTGTCCCTATTTTAAAATAAGGTACAATTTGGTTCTCATTTTTTTCAAAACGTTCGTTTTAGTCCTCGAAGACTAACATCGTTAAAAATTTGGTCCTCATTTAGTCAACAAAATGAGGACTAAAACCAAAGTTTCGAGGACTAAAACGAACGTTTCGAAAAGAATAAGGACCAAATTGTACCTTATTTTGAAAGAGGGACGAAAACCAGAAACAACCAATAATTTAGGGCCTAAAAACATATTTAACCCTTTTATTTTTTATCTACTTTTTTAAATGATTTTAATAACAAACATTAAACAAGTATATTGACAATATAAATTAAACAAGTTCATTTATACACAAATTATATAAGTTTATTAACGTATATTATATGAGTTTGTCTATTTTCTAATTAGACGACTTTTATCATATATATTATAAGAGTATGAATATATATTTATTAAACGAGTATAACAATATATATATTATACAAATGTGTTTGTATATTCATTAAACAAATCTAACAATGCATATTATGTCGTTGATGTATTAATTAGATAACTCGATCAATGCATACCACGTGAGTCTTTCCATACATTGATTAGAATAATATAGCAATAAAAATACACGAGATTGATCATACAATAATTGTATGAATATAACAAAAAAAATAATAGACAAATTGATTATACGAGTATAACAAAAAAATTTGGATAAGTTTGAGAATATTGTGATTAGATGAACAAAACAAACAAATTATCCGAGATTGTCAATATATTGATTAAACGAGTCTAGCAATATACATTAGATAAGTCATTCAATGTTTAGATAACTCTAAGAGTATACATTAGACAAGTCTTTCTAAACACAAATTAGACCAATCTATTAATAAATATTATATAAATATGTTCATTTACTGCTTAGATGAATATTGCAATACACATTATACGAGTATGTTTATATATTGATTTGATTAGTATAACAAAGAACATTATGCACGTTTAGCTATAGACATTAGATGAGTTTATTCATATACTTATTAGGTTTAATTGTTTAATTAGTACCTAGTCTCATCGTAGTATGTCAACTTGGTAATTCTTCTTAAAAAAGAGTTTTAATTTCGTTCACACATTGTATAATTTGCATCAATCAAGTTTATTTCGTTAATTATGTAGAAACAGAATTAACTGCATGTTGACATGACAAAAAAATATGCCACTTTTTTTCTCTCTCCTATGTGCGATACAAACCCAACTTTTATAATATTTATGATGGCATGGAACTCCTATGCTCCTCTGCCACTTTTCATATTCTAATTCTTTTTCTCCCTTTTGTTTCTCTTTTTTTTACTTTAAGAAATAATTAATTCAAATCCTAAATAATAATAATAATAATATAATATAATAATAATAAGGGTTAAATATATTTTTGATCCCTTAATTTTTAGTGAAATTTGGAATTAGTCTCTCTTCAAAACTTTGGCCTAATTTAGTCCCCAAACTTTAAAAATGTGTGAATTTAGTCCTTTTAACTAAATTTTGTTAGGTTTATTTGATGTTTCAAGTACGTTTCATGATAGCATTTGAGTTGTTTATACCATTTGACACGTTTTTGCTTCAATGTTAACTGAGAAATGCGTTTGAAACATCAAATAAAGTTAATAAAATTTGGTTAAAAGGACTAAATTCACACATTTGTAAAGTTTGGGAACTAGATTAGTCCAAAGTTTTGAAGAGGAACTAATTCCAATTTTCACTAAAAGTTAAGGGATCAAAAACATATTTAACCCTAATAATAACAACAATAATAATATAATAATAACGATGATAATATAATAATAATAATATAAATTATTATTATCATTATTAATATTATATTATTATTTTTATTATTACATTATTATTATTATTATATTATTATTATTATTATCATCATCATCTACGATTTGAATTAATTATTACGTAAAGCAAAAGAGAGAAAGACAAGGGGAAGAAAACTAGAACATGAAAAGTGGCATAGGACCATGAGAGTCTCGTAACCATCATAGATATTATAAAAGTTAGGTCTACGTCGCGTAGAGAAGTAGAGGAGAGAGGAAAAGGTGACATACTTTTTTGTCATCTCAGCACACAGTTAACTTTGTTTCTACAAAATTAATGAATTTGACTTGATTGATGCAAATTATATCATGTGTGGAGGAAATTGAAACTTTTGTATGGACAAAGTAAGTAATTAAACCTACTTTTCAAATAACTATAGTAAAATATATTAGATGATTCATTTCATACATTGATTATATGAGTCTAAAATTACTCGTTAGATGAGTATGTTCATACACTAATTAGACGAGTCTTGTAACATTCATCAAACAAATTTTTCCACACATTGATCAAACGAGTCTTGTAACACACATTAGACAAGTTTAACCATACACTAACCATATACTTTAGACAATTTTTTTCATACACAAATTAGATAAATCTATTAATACACGTTAGACGACTATATCCATTTTATGATCAAGTGAGTTTTGTAATATACATTATACAAGTTTGTCTATATACTAATTGGACGAGTCTAACAATACACATTAGACAAACGTGTCAATATACTAATTAGATGTTGGGAAGGTTCGATATACACACATATCTCCACACTGGTAAGATATTGTCCGCTTTGGGCCAAGCCCTCATGGATTTGCTATTGGTACCACTCCAAAAGGCCTCTTACCAATGGAGGTATCTTATGTGTATATAAACTCATCTCCATCTCTTATTTTTATCCAATGTGGGACTTTGTTTGTACCCAATACCCTCCCTCAAACAAAGGACTATGGTTCTCCTTCCTCCCCTTACTACGAAAGTCCTTTCTTATCCTTGAGTGCACCATGGTCAACACTAAGCATCTCTGTGCCCTCTTTCACGATCCATGGTCACAACACTGAGCATCTCTTGCTCTTCACTCTCATGAGTCATTTGGCTATTTGCCACTAGCTACCTGCCAAGGCTTCACCTGATCATGGAGGGACGTACTTGATTGAGCCCGATCACCAAATCTGAACCATGAGCTCTGATACTATTGTTGGAAAGGTTTGATATACACACATATCTATACACTGGTAAGATATTGTCCGCTTTGGGCCAAGCCCTTACGGATTTGCTTTTGGTACCACTCCAAAAGGCCTCTTACCAATGGAGGTATCTTATGTGTATATTGATGAGAGGGTCGCACCTCCCACAAAAATTGTGCATTAAAGAATGCAGTATAGTTACTAGGAAGTGACTCCTAGGTCGTCTCTCAAGGACCAATTTGTGGTTCAGTCTTAGATCAACACGTAGTGGGGGGTTGAAAATTGTTTTGTTTTTGGTTGTGAAAAATTAAAACTAGAAATTAAATACAACGAAACATAATTGAAAATATGGTAAACATAAAATAGTAACTGAATTTTATTTGAAGGAAGATGACGTAATTAAAAATGCAACAAATAATAAGCACTTAAACTTTTGACAAATTCGGAAATGCAGTAAGTAAATCAAGCATTTAAATGTAATTAGAACCGTGAATATTTTTCTCCATAACAACAAAATGCTCCATGCTTAGAAAGAAAAGAAAAAAAAAAAGTCTTTGTTGCAGCACCCCCCTGGACGTTGACAACTCCACCACACCCCGTTACCCAATAACACAAATCCATGACACCTACGCACTATTTTAGCCACTTACAGGAATAATGTTTGTTACGTGAATAAAGTTTAACGATTCCTACTTTCTATCTGCCAAAGGCCACCATTCGCCTCAAAATTATATCCAACTGTCCTTCTTTGGCAACTGGAACCCAAACACTCTTTAAGCAGCACAAAGCATCCATGCTTACAACCAAACATCAAAAGATGCAATTCTCCTCCCTCACACCCAACCACGTCACGGCACCACACTCCAC